CATATGATTAGGTTTGACCTAATTATAAATACACCATCATCTCATTGTAGTCTTCTGATTGTTGGATGAGAGAAAAGGAAGACAACGTAAAATAAAACACTCTCTAGCTTTCTAGATCGAGGATTCCTAGCTTCTTCACCAGAGAGGATTCATTAGCGTTGGATCGTGCATCGGGAAATTGGATTGCGTGGATACCATAGTCGAGGACATAGACGAACAACGGTAAGTTTTCGTTGATTATTCACGCGATCTAGGATCAAATCGAATAGCTATAGCCGGATCTTCGTTGTTGGTAAGAAAAATTTTAAATTCCGCTGCGCGTACGCTAGGTTCGTACGTCAAAAATCCAACACTTCTCTGATTCATTTTCAACTTAGTCACTTGTTTACAACGGGGTTTACAACATTGTAGGCAATATATTTACATTGAGTCTGAATTTTCCATCAGAAGGATCAAAGCATTAAAAATCACTGTTCATATATACTCACACACGCGCACACACAGTCTTTTGTGGCATTTAAAATAAACTTGCACAGCCAGGAAGAAACATCCGATTGCTATTTTACAGAAAACACAGGTGAAACTTTCTTTAGAAGAAAGAAGTCATGGAGCAAAGTTTAAAGCAATGAGTTTTTTCTGCAAGAAATTATGTTACACTAAAAGTGCTCTCGGAAAAATATAAAAAAGAAAAAGTTCATGCACAGATTTGTGACCCCACTAAACCACATTGTTCGAGCAAGGAGTTCAGCTCCAAAACCGATGTCCGTACACTACGAACATCCGCCTCAACCTTCTCCGACTCCCCAAACGACAGTGCCTCAAGCAACTCTGTCTTTCGCTCCACAGCTTTGCCTCTCGCTGCCTATAAGTCTTCCATTTCCATCAGCCCCACCAAAACTTCCTCATGCATGATTTTCAGTTACTCCTCATTCAACTCCATTTCGAACAGCCTCTCATAGTAATCTACGATCATCGTCTCGTATTCATTTTTCCCATTCTCTCGAACCTCCAGAATAATTTCTTTCTCCTTAATAATATTCTCAAGTTTCTGATTCATTTCCTCGACAATTACAGACTCTTTCTGAATTTCAACTTCAAGAGCTTTTCTCTCGCTTTCTATTTTTCCAAGATTCTTCGTCAGGACCTCGGCTTCTTTCTTCAAAACCCCGAGTTTTTCTCTGTTCAGCTTTATCTCGTTTTGTAGCTTTGTTTTCTCCTCCTCGGATTTCAATAGAGCGGTGGCTTTCGCACTCGAATGCCAGTTCCTGTTCTCAACGTTGTCTATGGCAAAGAGGACCCTCTCGTTTTCCAGTTTCCTGTGTTCATCCTCTACTTTCAACTTCAAGCTGTCTGAAAGTTTTCTCAATTCGGCTTTAGTTTCTTTAGTTTTTGAGAGAGCATCCGTCACTTCATGTCTGGACAGCTCAAGACTGTTGAGCTCCTCCTTTTTACGGGACAAGTTTTCTGAGCAAGAAACTAATCTAGACTTCGCTAGGGCCTCACACTGCTCAAAATAAGTAATCGAAGAAGAAAAGTTCGACAGAGAGTGCTTTAGAGCTGATAGTTACTTGCCAGCCAAGTCTTTTCTTTTCTGAAGCTCAGACGAGAGAGATTTCAGATTTTCATGATCCTGCTTTTTTGCCCAGATACTTTTCTCCAGTTTGCTGATTCTTTCTGAAAGTGTATCCACCTCCACTAATGCTCGCTCGAGCGAGCCAAACACGGTTAATGTTTGTGCAGAGCACGAAAGCTTTTCATGTGCATCCGCAATCTTCTTTCTTATAGAATCCATTTCTTTTGACAAATCCATTGTGCTAGCACGAATTTCCTCCCATTTGTTTATTTCTTTTAACTCGTCCTCATCCACTGTTCTCATTTGGAAATCAATCAAACTCTGGCTATAATCATCCCCAACATGTACTTCATGCAAACAAGTTTCGTCTTCTAAATCAGGGTTAACTTGTCCATCCTGTACATGGGGTACAGTGCCATCCAATTCCTCCCTGTCACGTTCGTTGTCTGAGCAAGTAGAAGCACAGTCAAACCTGAGACGTTCGCCTCCATCAACTTCAACAAGCTTTTGTTGCTTAAAATCAATATTCTTTTTCAGCTCGTCCCTCTCTTGCATGGCCTTCTCGTACAAACTCATCAACCTATCATTTTCTTCATGCATTTCAGTGAGTTGACAATTTAGCCTCTCAAGATCTCCTTTCATCTCGAGTGCCTTCTCCTCAGCTACATTATTTAGGCAAATGTTGCTATCTTCCTGAATACGATTTCCCGAGACTGCACTTTCATACAGCTCGATCAGTTTATTGTTGTCCTCGATTAGGACCTTGAGCTTGGCCTGCAGCTCGTCGTTCTCTTTGGCCAGGAAGATTGCCATCTCGTGTGCTTGTGCCTCTCGTTGGCTGGCAGCTGCAATGGCATCAACCATTGTTTTGATCTCCGATTGGTCACTTTGTCCGATACTTACTAGAGAAGGAAGTATGGCAAGTCCTTTCTCAGACTCCTCGGATGTAGTTTCTTTCAAACGTCTTTCTACCTCGAGCTCATTTGTCAAGTCATTGACATGCCTGCAAAAGATATTTAAAGATGAAGGCAGACAAAATATCCAGAGCCATTATTTTCTTACCCCTTATATTCTTATTACCATTTTGTATTAGCATATAAGAGTTGAGTGATCAATAGGATAGGGAAGAAGAGATTTGTTTTGTTATAGCATAGGCTGTTGAGCAAGTTTCTAGGTGGGCAGACCTGCTGGAAAAGTTTTATACTTCTCGTTTGTCCCTATTATTATCTCATCAATATTACTATTTATCCCTTTTATCCGACCCTGTACTCTCCTAACAGCAACGTTTGCCATTAGCCAAATTTCACATGTAGCACTTCAGAATATTGTAAAAGGAAGACAAGCTGTTCAGCAGAATCCCAATCAATTAGCATTCTTAGATTCCGCCTATAACCTTTATAAGATTCGAAAAGATGAGATATTAGCTAGAGGCAAATCAAAAGTTGGAATCACTATGGCCAGTACCTTTCTAGTTTTCATTCTCGTCAATAATGAAGTCGAGCCTTTTACGAAGTGAGTCGAGCTCTGACTGGTTCGGAATGGCCTGAGAAATATATATTTGGGTAACAGCTAGAAAAAGCATGTTTTTGGATACATATATGCATACATTATCAACAGAAAAAACACATGGAAGATAAAAGTTTACCTGCATACGTAGGAATTCATTCTCCTCATTGGTTGATGTTCGCCATGGTGATGCAGATTCCTTGAGGAAAAAAAAAAAAAGAAGAAGAAGAAGAAACTTATATATGTAATGATATGTGCTAAACTTCAACTTCCATATAATTGACGGATTTCTAATTTGCCCAAGGTTTTAACTCAATAGTGGGAGTAGGACTAGCAGTAGTACACAGTTATTGAAAATTTAACCCTACAACATGGCTAAATATTATAGTGGTATATATTAGCTCTAGCATTATGCTTAGGCTTGAAAAATTATAAAAGTGATATGAAGTATGAAAGCACCAAGTTTAATTTTCTATTACCTGATTGGATATCAGAAAATCATTATCACTCTGATCGTGTCTTTCTTTCTGTAACATCAAAACTAAACGTTATCTAAATTTCACAAGTCACATCTTCAGCAGATTTAAGTTTGCACAAAAGGGTAAGAACCTGAATGTTAGTGGGATCTGATTCATGCATGAGTTTCCAATCAAGAGCTTCTAGCAACTGCAGCAACGCATGAAAAATTCTTTAACATTTACAAAAATGAACTTCAGATGAGCACTAGTAAAGATAACTGGACGTAAATTAAAAAATTTGATAACTATTTCGAAGAACGAATTTTTTCTTTCTTTGATCTTTTTCTTTGTCGAGCGATTTACTTACAGAACAATGGAAGTGTAAGATATGTTTTTTTATTTATCTTTACAAGGTATCAGTTCTTGGAGTAACTATCCTTCACTTGATTTGCAGACAGCCAAAATAGTAACACTCGAAATATGGGAAATGAACAAAACACAGCCCCTTCTTTTTTTCAGGAAAAATCTCCCTACTTGTTTTGTTATTATTACTTTCTTTAGTTCTTTTTTTCTCCAGGTTTTTGTGCCATTGGGAGTCCCATGATCTAAAAAACTTAATTGGGGAAATAAATATGTATTATAACTTAAATAAGGGCTTGTGCTGAAATTGATCGAGTATGATAAGAACCAACAAAGTAGTAAGCACAGAAGAGATCAGGAAAAATTGTAACACTAACCAAGTCATCATTTGCATATGCTGCTAACAATATTAAACACTGTATGAACACTGTTTTAGCCGATTATAAATAAAGTTTTCTGTTCATAGTATGTGCTATTTCTAACTAATAAATTTAGGGAGGATCAAAGAATACTCAGATGTCAGTAATATAAATTTTTTACCTTAGTTTCTAATATAATTATCTGTTCATTTAATCTTTCCCGTTCACCGTCTTCACAGAATGACTTCAGTCTGCATATGAGAAATTCAATAGCAAGTTAATCTAGCTGATGACGTATCAAATTTGATTTTCCAGAGATCAAATCACAATTAAATAAAGAACCGCGCAAGCGACTTGATGTTGTGTCTAAAGATGAGCTGTGTGTGTGTGCTTGAGTAAAGAACAGCATGGAGAAAGCAATAACAATAGAAACTTGAAACTGGAGGCCTAAGATGACTCTAAAAGCATTAGTTTCACAAATAAAGGAACATATCACATCTCACAAGCCAAGTTCACCACTGGAATTCTATTTTGTTGACTGCTAATCAACTTAAACATTTTAATGATGGGGCAAATTGAAGTCAAACAAGGAAAAATGTACAGCTAATGATATACTTGTCATTGGGTGATGAATGGAATAAATTAGATACAACAAAATCTTGCCTTCTGATCTCTTCTTTTAGTCGCAAGTTCTCCATAGCAAATCTTGTTGTTTCCTGGTTACGATCTACCTGAGCACGCAACACCTCTATTTCCTTTAAATGCTCCTCTCTTTCTTTTAGCAAGTGAATCTCGGCAGAGATCTTTCCTGATGCAACAGCTTCAAGTCTTTTTATTCCTGATTCTCGAAATCGTAATCGCATCTTTAAACCTTGGATTTCATCTTCTCTTTGTTTGGCCTATCACATCATGCACACAATAAATTCAGCAATTTAAGGACAAATGAACCTGAACCTATGCTGCAATTAATTTCTTCACAAAATGAAATTGTATAGGATAAGTGAGCATATTTTATATGTCAGATGCTGTAAAGGGGCTATTCAATTCAAAAATAAATATAAAATTGTTGAGGCACTTGTATATTTCCATAGGAGAATTCTGTTTTCTAAGTGACCAGTTGTCCGTGTCAAGAAAATCTACAAGCAATACTTCTGCTTCAGAACAATTAATCTTATTCATTTGCAAGACCAAATTACCTATTTGAACATTTCAGATATTTATATGGTTCCAAGAACTCAACTTACTAATGGATGTGAACACAAGTCACTGCAATAAAAATGATCATACCAACTGTAGAGTTGCCTGATTCTCTGCTGCCAAAGCTTGAAGTGCAGTGTCTTTATCCTTTTCCCTCCGGAGAACTCCGACAAGGGCAACTTCATACTCCTTCTTATGAAGCTACAAGGAAAATCAAGCTGAAACTTAGAATCATGCAAAACACCCTTCGTCCTGAAAATGTGCAAGCTCTATTAAGTAGAGTTCAGGAGATGAATCTACATACACGAGGCGTCTTTTTCTCAGATACAATTGGACTGGAAAATCCATGGTGTCCCTCCCATTTAAGGGATCCAGGAGATCCTGGAAATGTTATTGATAAAGCATCAGCACCATGGCTTTCAGCTTCGCCATTTATTAGGCTCCTCAAGCGAGAAACTTCTTTCTGGATAACATTTTCAAAAATGGTTAATCACCAAAATTGGCTACAATCAGAGGAAGCCACCTGACTCCTGTTGTAATACACCTCAAGCAAAATAAATTCACTTCCTATGTACAAATCAAGAACAATATCACTTTTTACAAATTCACAGCAGGTTACACTAGAAATACTTAATGTATGGCTTAATACGACACCATAGATCGTATCACTATCTGATGACAATTAAATAATTAATTCAGACTTTAAAGACATTTCAAAAACAATAACAATTTGTATCACCAGCGGTGCTTTTGCCAGTGCTACACTGTAAGCATTTTGACTATCAAGTATTTGTTTTTTACCACATGTTTCAAGAATTTCCCAGTAAGAATGCAACAACAGTAAATAAACTGATAAAACTCTGAGATAGTTGCAGTAATCATATCTGAAGTGAAATGGAAAGGGAAAGTATAGACAGCAAACAATGTCATGGGTGTTTGTATTCATATTCTGTCTTCATATAGGAACCTAGTCCAACAAGTCAGTATTTGATGAAAAGAGGTGATGGGTAACACATGCCGGTTATGAAT